AGAAATAATAAACCATTGTTCTAATCTACTAAATTTGGGGGTGGTTTGTTTCACAGCAATAGATAATTGGGAGACTTCTGAAGCAAGGAAGTGTTTAACTAGCAAACCTCTAAAGCTGCGCAATCCTATACAGGAGCCTCTAGATACATTTGGCTATTGACTCAATAAAATATGCAGGAAGTATAAAATACATCCCATATTTCTTTCTAATAATAAGATTAATAACCAGAAACAAATAACATAAAATATCTCATCAATAATTTTTATAGTGATTACATGTTGAACTGATAATATCTGTGAAATATTGCATTAAATGAAACACATTAAAATTAACTTCACCTGTTTCTCATTACCTTTATAACGTGGCTACTAGAAAATTTTCAATTATTCAATCAGTCAAATTATATTCTGTTGGATAGTACTGGTCTAGAGCATGGAAGACTTAAATATTTGCTTAGAAATAATAAAACCACCAACAGTTCTGATGGAATATAATTTTTAAATTTTTGAATAAAATAATAATGATAGATAATACTTATAGAGTATATTCTAAAAGCATTATATATAGTAATTGGTTTAATCCTCACAACAATCCTATTAGGTATCATTATCCTTATTTTACAAATGAGAACCCTGAGTCACAGAAAGGTGAAGTGACTTGTCCAGGGCCACACAGCAGGAGTAGAGCCAATCTTCTGACCCACGTGGCCGGCTCCTGGGACCGAGCTTTAAACCTCTGCTCAGCACTGAGTCGGTACACGAAGCAGCGGTGCTCTTGTTCTTTCAGTGTAAATACCTTTGATTACTGAAAAAGTGCCACAGCCTAGACAGCCTGCTGTGTACGTTGCTATCACCACCGCCTCAGTCACCCTGGACTCCCTTCTCTCCCGCACTCCATGTTAACCGGTCAGCAGACTGTGGATTCTTCTTCCACAGCGTTTCTCCCAACCCTGAGAGCTGCACTCTAGGCACTGCAACAGCGGAGCTAAATAATTTGTGTTATACCAGAACTTCTGAAAAGAATAGAAAAACTAGAACATTTCCCAACTCTTATGTCCACACTACACAGTTCTGACATGTTTGAATTCCAAGATCTGACACATCCCTCTTCAGAGTTAAACAACAGATGACACTGAGATGGTGATTACAACGCAGGTTTCTCAAGGAGGGTGCCGGGGCTCCGCCCCTGTGGAAGGGAAGGGGAGAAACAGGACTGGCGGGGAAACAGT